CCAGCTCCGAGCCCGGCGGCGGCGGCCGCTCCGTGCGCGACGACTGAAACATATGCTTTTATTAATATCAAAATTTCATCAAGAATCGTTGAATTTGAATAAACATTTAATTATTGTCGACAAAAGTATGTCATGTACACACCGAGGGCGTGATCCGCGAGTGCGAGACTGCCTTAGGCTTGGTCTTGTCTGCGCGCGGCTCGCGGGCGTTCAGCTCCGTCTTGGTCACCGATGGATGGTCCCCGCACATGCTGCGAACATTACCCACTTTTTCAAATTGGTGTAAACTATATCTTAATTAATTGTATGTGAAAGCCATAGCTGTTGAAATGAGTAATTATAAATTTTAATGTCGTAAACATTATGCATTAAATCAATACGGTCCTTTTTACAATATGTTGAAAATAAGTTTTGCTTTCTCTCGTTATCTCGAGACGTAACTTACATCATATCGGGAAGTTTCGGTGAATCGCCTTTCGGTTGCTCCATCACTTGTGCAGACATCACTCGCAAACTAATTTCCAATAGCTTTCATGTTTAAAAAAATCCAAAAGGTAAATATATAAAAAAAATAACAAAATGATCTAAGCTCTTCACGTGGTCATGACCGACGCAAATGTCAAAGTGACATCGTGACACGGCTCTATTTTTAAAAATCTTATTTGTGTTATAAAATTATAGGAGGTTTTATTTTGTCATTTAATTAAAATGTCGGTTAAAATAGACGTCCCTTTGGGGATGATAATACGTACTTACTAATATTATAAATGCGAAAGTTTAGATGGATGGATAGATGTTTCTTGGAGTTTGTAGTCTAAACTGCTTTACAGATTTCGATGAAATTTGGTAGAGGATAGTCTGGAAGAACACATAGGCTACTCACTTTTTTTTTAATTTCACGCGGACAGAGTCGCAAGTGAAAGCTAGTGATTTATATAGAACAAATATTCTACAATCTGGTACCAGTGCAAGTCTACTTTCAGCATTATCTGAATTCAAATCATATCGTAGGTAAGGATGTTAATCCGGGCGTCTTGAATGTGTTTAATATTTGCTGTAGATCCGCTACCTGCACGGGCGCTGCGTGCGGCTGGAGAGCTGGCGCAAGGCGCTGGTGTGGCAGAAGCGGTACCTGCAGCGCGTGCT